AATTGTGCTGCTTGTTGCATTAATTCCTAAAAATTGTATATTAATTTTAGAATGCAGAAAATAAAAAAAAATATTAATTTTGACCCATCCCGGCCTCTGGGTGCCCCACTACGCGGGTTGGGGGCTTGTTGTCAGTGTTTTACTTTTTTGTCATTTTTTGGAGGCACGCCCAGAAAAATGTAAAGATCGTGTTTACAAAATTTCATAATTTTTTGACATCATTTTTATTTTATTTTATTTTTCAAATACGAAAAATATAGAAAATCATAAAAAATAGAATATTCATCAAAAAATGGTGCTGCTTATTGCATTAATTCCTAAAAATTGTATATTAATTTTGGAATGCAAAATGTAAATAAAAATGTAAATTTTTGACCAATGCCGGCCCCTGGGTGCCCTACTACGCGGGCTAGGGGCTTTTTGACAGCGTTTTTATTTATTTTTGTCATTTTTTGAGGCCATTTTTTGTAGGCATGTCTAGAAAAATGTAAGGATCGTGTCTGTAAAATTTCATAATTTTTTGACGTCATTTTTATTTTATTTTATTTTTCAAAGATTAAAAAAAAAGAAAATCCTAAAAAATAGAATATTCATCAAAAAATGGTGTCGCTTGTTGCATTAATTCTTAAAAATCTTGTGTTATTTTTAAAATGTAAAACATAAATAAAAATGTGAATTTTTATCCCTTCTGGCCCTAGGCGACCCACTACTCTGGCCATGGTTTTTTTTGGAGCGTTTTCTTTTTTTATAATTTTTGACCACGTAGCACGATCCATATATTTTTTGAGCATGTCTACGACAAATGGTGTCAACTTATGAAAAAAGAAAACACTGCCAAAAAGCCCCCGGCGAGTGCAATGGGGCGCACAGGGGCCGGGATGGATCAAAAATTGAAATTTTTATTTTTGATTTGCATTCTAAAAATAGTACACGATTTTTAGGAATTAATGCAACAAGCGGCACCATTTTTTATGAATATTATATTTGTTTATGATTTTCTATATTTTCCATCTTTAAAAAATAAAATAAACTAAAAACGACATAAAAAAGTTCTGAAATTTTACAGACACGATCCTTACATTTTTATGAGCATGTCTGCAAAAAATGTCTTCAAATTATGAAAAAAGAAAACGCTACCAAAAAGCCCCCGGCCTATCTAATGGGGTGCCCAGGGGCCGGGATGGGTAAAAAATTTACATGTTTATTTGTGTTTTGCATTTTAAAAATAATACACGATTTTTAAGAATTAATGCAACAAGCGGCACTATTTTTTTGATGAATATTCTATTTTTTATGGTTTTCTCTATTTTCATCTCTGAAAAATAAAATAAAATAAAAACGGAGTCAAAAAATTGTGAAATTTTGCATACATTATCCTTACATTTTGCTGAGCATGTCTGCAAAAAACGACCTCAAATTATGAAAAAATAAAACGCTGTCAAAAAACTCCCGGCCAATGTAATGGGGTGCCCAGGGGCCGAGATGGGTAAAAAAATTTATATTTTTATTTATGTTTTGCATTCTAAAAATAATACACGATTTTTAGAAATTAATGCAATAAGTGGCACTATTTTTTAACGAATATTCTATTTTTTAAAATTATGTCATAATTATTTGAAATTAAAAAATATGATAATTAAAAGAGGGGAATTTATTAAAGTTTAACGATTTAAAACTGTATCATATAAAATACAATAAAGAATTTCAGTAGTTATAATTCAAAGTTGGCAGGCAGATCAAAGACACGTGCTTGATGCATGCCTCCTGGTAGCTCCTGATTTGCTTTAATTTTCTTTTGGATAGTGAAACTTTGTTCAACCCATTAGGGCTGCTCGTTCAACCCATTAGGGCTCATTCAACATGGTCTATTTTTAGCCATAAAGGGGCAAAAAAATGGTCTTAATCAAATAGGTAAGGAAAAAAACTTCTCCTCTCATTTTGTGGCAGCTGATGATGTATTGTTAATTTTGAAGTTTTATAAGTAGTTTCTAAGTTCTAATTAATGAGATAGTTTTCTTCAAAATTGAAATTAGAAGTTGCAAGGTCTCCTCTCGGATTTCAAAACTGACTGCTGACCAAACTACAGAAACGAGTTAGTTCAAAGAGGGACTAAACCATTGTTATTCATGTCATAAATAACAATAATAATAACTAACAATAATTTCAAAATGGTAAAAAAAAAAAAAAAAAAAAAGAGAAAGGAACTTATAACCACCGTTATAAGTTGATTAGGTTGGAACGGTAATCTGTTTTCCACATGCCCACGGTGGTTATAAGTTAATCAACTTATAGAAAACTAATCCATACCCTTTGGAAATTATAACAAAATTAAAATTTTTTCTTCAATTTTTTTATGAGAATTTTTTACTATAGTAAAACTCAAATCGGTGATATAAACTGGGTCTAGATTGAAGCGACCCATTAGCATTTAATTCCAAAGTTGGCGCAAAGAAGATTAGATAGTTTATTCTTAAATAAATAACGTTTCTGTTAGTGACATCTAATTTAAGGCATTTATGTATAAGGACGACTTCTAGAGTGTGGACTCGTGTCTAGATATTTTTAACTCAGCTTTAACACAAATGTTATTGTCAATAGTGTAATTAACGCCAAAAATGTAAATAATTTGTCATCATATTGAAAGTGTGTGAATTTATATGAACATCTTTGATAATTGTTTCTTACAAATATTTGATGTTGTCTTTTACAAATAAGTCCTGCATGCGACCTATACGTCTTTAAAACCGTTAAAAATTAATGTTTCATTGACAGGAATACAAAATTACATCTTTTGATAAGTTTATATGCTAGTTTTGTGCTATTTTGATTCTTTAAATTGTAAAGTAAGAGAACTCCTATTCTCTGAGAGAAATTTGAAATTAATCCCAAAAATTAATATAACATTTGATGTAACAATTAGAGCACAAAATAATATAGTATATTGAAAACGACATTCTCACATTTGCTGTATCATCAAATAGAGCACAAAATAATATAGTATGTTGAAAACGACATTCTCACATTTGCTGTATCAAATATAGTATTAGCATTTGTATTTGCGTCGAGGATGGTTTAACATTATACCAAATTGGACATGAAAATATTAAAAAATAATCTTCTTGCTCAAATACAAAATATTAACATTGGTACAGAGATTTGGTATAATACTAGAGATGCTCTTATAGGAAGTCTGCAAGCTCTATTCATGAGGCAAGATCCATGGTGTTGTTGTGTAGGAAAAGGAAAAAATTATTAAAGCAATAATATTTTTTCACAAAGAAAATAAAGAACCAAATAAATAAACAACAACAACAACAACAACCTAATAAAGATCTATAGATCTAAATTGGCATGTGGTCTAGTGTACTCGTCTATGTTGAGATAAGACCTCTTTAAGAAGGATTAGGAGAGTCCAAATCAAAACTTACAGCCATTCCTCTCCAACATGTTGGCAGTTTGATGCCAAAGTGATATACCAACGATCACCAGTTAAACAACCAAAACCGGAAAAAAAAAAAAAAAAAAAAAAAAAAAGGCTCACTTTTTTACTCAGCGTCCTTCTTCATCTCCTTAAAAATGGCCTGAGGTGCTATTTGACAAGTTATGGTTCCATTTTATACCTCCTAAATCCCATGGCCGTCACTAAGAACACACTCTTTGAGAGTACCTCGAATAAACTAGCATATAATTTGATCAATTCCCGGCGTAGCCAACGAAATATTGGGGCATCAATCATCATACATATACAAGGCAAGCACCTTTACGCATATTGCGGTCTAAAACTACAAGAATTACAGCTAAAAATTCCTAAATATTTTTGTGCATATCATAATAAGAATATCATATATCTTACACATTTCTTGGAGTAAAAACGATGTGCATATATCATAATGAGGATATTATATAACTTACACATTTCTTGGAGTAAAAACGAAACCACATTCCATTCAAATAAATTAAAATGCTTAAAAAAACACCGAAATGCCCATAACTGTGAATATGTAAGAGAGCAAACATTTAACACTTGAAACCACAACGAGCCTTCAAGTAAAATTTGGATGAAATCAAGATCGCAAAGGAGAGATAAGATTTAAGTTGTTGGATATATACCCACATAGATTGCTGATTGTACAGTGGCCAAGCAATTATCATTTGGAGTAAATACCAAATCAAACAGAAAAAGACGCCAACCATCTGAAAAACTCAATGAAGAAGCTGCTACATCTACTGCAAAACAAGTTACGGATCATAAGGGACTCAAAAAGGATTTGGCATGGAACACATGGTGGATGGTGACTTTTCTGCTCATGAGGATGAAGTTAAAGCACCTGTTTAAGCTTGGTTTGAGCAAGGGATGTGAGACTATATCCAACTTATCGAGCAGATGAACAAAAAAATCTTACAAGTTTTGAAGACTAACAATTTTGATTGTAAAGGGTTTGTTATTTTGTTGTCAGATCATAGATGTATCTAGCTTAATGTCTTGCTTTCACAAAGTCGACATAAACCATGTCTAACGAAGGATCAAACTCATTCGCTTCTTATGCGCAGCGTAATGATTGCAAAACACATTCTCAAGAAGAACAGGGAAAACTATTTGCTTATAGAGTAAGTACCATTGCACAAAACAACACCAGTTTTTGGAGAGAGAAGGAAAGAATCAAACCAAAAAGTAGATCAATAAAACACAAGAACAAAGTTACTAACACCCAATAAAAGACATGCAACTCACGGAACAGAGCATCATTCACAACAACACAAATGATAAATACTACTATGTAAACACTTAAAAATCCAGTTCCTAATATTTCGGCAGATTAAGAATACGACTCAGACCAAAAACAGCACCATGAAAAACCATGTCTATAAGAGAGATAATCCAAACATTTTTGTCAAAATAACCCGCAAAATGACAGTACATTCTCGCTACCATCCATTCAACTACGTAAGCACTTCTACGTAAGCACTTCATTCCACTGAGAATAATCTAAAATTTCATATTCCGATTAACCGAAATCATAGTACTATTGCATTGATCAGAAATTAAACAGACTATAGTCTCCATACTCAAAATTCCAAGAAATTATAAAAACAAAAAAAAAAATCCATAACATTCTTCATTCAGGTCCTTAACACTAATGAAACCACAATCTGAAAAACATAAAGTAACCAACAAAAAACCTCTCCTTTCTCCGCGTTCCGAAACCGTCCCGTCCGATGATTAACGGTAAGACTTCTGGAACCTGGCGCGAGCACCGCGACCACCAAACTTCTTGGGCTCGCAGCGCCTGGGATCGGCTACGAGGAGGGTCCTGTCGTACCTGACGAGGATATCCTTGATTTCCTTCTTGCTCTGCTCGTCGACGTACTTCTGGTAGAAGGCGACGAGGGCCTTGGCGATGCTCTGCCTGATGGCATAGATCTGGGAGGTGTGACCGCCGCCCTTGACGCGGATGCGCATATCGACGCCGGCGAAGCGGTGGCGGCCCAGGAGAAGGATGGGCTCGTAGGCCTTGAAGCGCAGGATCTCCGGCTCCACGAGCTCGATCGGGCAGCCATTGATCTTGATGAGGCCGCGGCCGCGCTTGCAGTAGGTCACCGCCACGGCGGTCTTCTTACGGCCGAAGCACTGCACGGATTCGATTGCAGGCGCCGCCATTGTTGCTAGGGTGTGGAGGAGTGAAAAGGGGCTGTTGGACTCGACGACGAAAAACCCTAATTCGCAAGTCTCTGAGTGAGAGGTGAAATGGCGTTCGAGAGAGAGTAGTATTTATATGAGGATTGTTTTAGGGTTTGGTGTGGAAAGTAAATGGCCTTACTTCTGGAGGTTAATTACAATATGAACCAGGAGCAAAAAGATGTTATTGCAATATGGGCCCTGATTTTATTGGGTTCCACCGAAGCGGCCTAAATAAGTAGTGGGCCTTACGGCCTCTTCTATAAGCCCATTGGATTGGGTAATCGGGGTTTCCATGTCCATGAAATTTAGAGAAATTATATATATGTCCATTGTGCTTGGATGACAAAAATGATGTTACACAAGTTGAGATATCTCCATTTAAGCCTGTGAAATAGTCTGTAATGATTTTCATTTCTTTTTTAACCACATGTAAAATAAATTACACAAATTTATAACCACTCATATAGAAAGGTTATATCCGAAATAATATTATTATATTAACTATAAAATAACATGACAATATTGTTACATTACATATACACATTTTTCTAGAATTGAACCTTAAAAAATTAATGTGAAATCAATATTTTCCTTTTTATTTTTAATTTTTTTAAGTTGATTTATTCTGATAAAAGGGTGGTTGTGATTAAGATGTTAATAATAGAAAGATGACTAATAAAAAGATAGTTTTTCTTTTTTCCTTTAAAAATGTATCTAAATAGAGAGTTCAAATGTTATCAATTTGTGTAGATACTTCTTAAAGTTAATCCATGATATTCATGTCTGCTACACTAGATATGGTAACTTGGGCAATTCTAGTCGAACATGACACGCGCCGAAGTCATAATGGGCCAAGCTAATTAGGATGTCAAGTTTGGCGGGGTCATGTTGAAGTTGTGGTTTTGAGCACATTGAATTGTCTTAACACAACATGGGAAAATCACTAAAGCGACTCGATTGTTTTGGTTAATTTTGTGTAATTTTCACCATAATGTTATGTTATTAATTCAAGAATTATAAAATTAGATATTGTGTAAGTGGTAAACAATATCTAATTTTATTAGAATTTTCTAATTCTTGTGTTTGGTGGATTTTCTATACACTCCGAATGTGTAATGTAACACCCCAATGAATTAAACGAGATTAATTAAGGTAATTAAGATTTATTAGTGTGTCTAATCTGGTTTAAATAATTAATTATTGTTTATTAAATGTTTCTGACGAGTAAATTTAAATAATTCTAAGGTATTTAAATATTTTCAGTATTTACACTTTACCCCAGAAGTGTGTGTAGACACATTTCTGAGACTGTCTTTAAATATTTGGACACCTGTCCATTCCCTTTTTCTTTTCCTTTTTCCTTTTCTTCTTTTTCTTTCCTTTTTCCCGTGCACTCTCTCTCTCACTCACTCTCACTCTCATTCTCACTCTTTCTCTCTCGTTTTGATTCAAACCAACCAAATCTCGAATCAAAGAGGAATTTAAAAGAAGTTTTCAACGTTAAGAGAAGGATTTGAGGTAAGATTTCTAAAAACCTCTCTTGAATCTCGAGTTTTTCAGATTAGAAAACTTATTTTTGGTTCGAAATGGATTTTGATGGTTTTTGAGTAAAATCATGGTAGAAATTGGGGATCTTGGGTTCTTTAGACTTGATTTAGTACCTAAAACCTAGATTTGGTTGTTTTCCCTTGAGATATTTCAAATTGGCCCATTCGGTCGACCTGTCAGGCTCCCACTGGTCGACCTATGCGTTCGACCGGATTGCACTACATCAGGTCGACCTGTGCGGCCGACTGAAGTGCACACCACCGGTCAACTGGTGGTGTCGTACTACTCTGTCACCGGTTGACTGGTGTACATGGGGTTTGACCCTGTTTGGCTGGAAAATGTTGTTTTGACCTCGGTTTTTGAGGAAAACCCAAATTAGCTTCATTTGGGGACCTAGAATGAATGGATTAGCATCTTTTATCCATGTTTTAAGATTGAAAACCCTTGGAATGATGATTTGAAACATGAAACGGTTTGTGAAACCGGTAATTGAATTATGGCACACTAATAGGAAATCGAAGTGTATAATTGGTATTGAATTACTTTAGGAATGAGAATTGGATCCTAAAGTGTGGTTTTGTATCAATGCTAGCTGAGGACTCAGATTGAGGGACTTGAGGAAGAGAAAGCCAGAATAGAGTAACGCTAGCCACATGTTTGATATTGTGAGGTAGGATTCCTTACTCTTTCTTTGTTAGCCTGATTTCAAAAGATTTTGGCCTTACAAATGTTTTAAAGAAGGGCATGTTTGCGAAAGAAAAGCATTTTAAAAATAATAGCTTGAGTTTAGCTATTGGAATTATAATGAACTGTTTCATAAAGTTTAATGAATGATTTCTTAAGACAAGAGATCTTGCGAATCGGTAAACCGGCTAATGGCCTAGATAGGATGTGAAGAGTGCATCATTGGGGGCAGAACCTGAAACCCGGCCCGGGGGTGTTAATGCTTGTGCTTGTGGTTGTGTAATTAATTTGTCATAGTATAAATTACTTACTGATGCCTTTAATACGAAGATTTTCAGATATATTTCTTTTCTAGAAAAAGGATGTGAGGTTTCGGCCGTTGTGTTGGAACTGAATGTCTTATTTACTTATTCATTTATTTATTTACTTGCTTACTCATTTATTTATTTATTCATAAAGTTATTTCAAAATACATCATACTAGGCCTTTCGCTTAAGTTTTATCGGTTATATAAATATTAACCCCTCCCAGGCGACTCTAGGAGCAGTGTGGAGTAGCTGAGTAGTTGTTACTATCCAGTTAAGAGAGGATTGTGTTCATCCTCCTGTCGTACAAATGTAAGAATTGTAAATGCTGTAAACTCTGAACTTTGAATTTCTAGACTGTGGTTGATGTCTGTAATGTTGATTACATATCCATGTATGTACAATGCTGCATATCCTGTGGGTGAAGCCCTGAATGATTTAGGAAGTGTGGGCGACCCCGTAACTTTCTTGTAATATATTTCCAGCTAATTAGTGAGGCCCGTTTGGAGATTTCTTTAATATTTTACTTTTGTTTTTTATTATTATAATTTCAAGTGTTTAATCCCGTTTAACTCCTAAATGAGGCTCCACGTCACTAACCCCGGCTTCGGAGAGTGATAGAGTGGTATCAGAGACTTAGGTTTAGAAACCCCAGGATTGTACATACATGTGTGACATCAGGAATCCACTAAACAGTCTTGTTTCTTTTCAGTTAAATGAGATGTCACCGCGTTGTAAATCAGTTAATCAACCGGCACCACAGAATCAAGAATTCATGGATGCCATGTATGCTGCTTTCCAAGGGATGGCCATTTAAGGTTAGAATGAGCGACCGGCCGATGATAGGAAGCAGAGCTATTTCCGTGAATTTAGACGTGGACCTATCCCCACATTCAATAGTGAGGGAGGACCCCAGGAAGCGGAATACTGGTTTGACTCCATAGTTAAGCACCTTAATACTATGGGAGTGCCGGAGGAATATTGGGTAGAATTCACGGTGTATAAGATGGAAGGCTAAGCAAGTACTTGGTGGAAGCAGGTGAGGAGAAGGCTTAATGTTACGGGAATGACTTGGGAATAGTTTGAGGTTATTTTCAATGAACAATACTTCCCTCAGAGCTATCGGGATGAAAATGCAATAAAGTTTATCTTTCATACAGGGTGACATTTGGAGGAATTGTCCTAATCGGAATCGACAGCCGACTCAGCAATATCAGAGTGATGCATCTTACGGTCAAGAGAGGCCACCGCAGTTTGTGTCGCCTTATCAGCCTCAACTGCCAATGCCATACCAACCTGTGCCAACCTACCGCCCGCCTCAATATCCACAGTTTCAGCCTTAAGCGTCGGGAGCAGTACATATACCTCTACCACAACAATATAGGCCAGGGACTCAAAAGCCTAATATTGGTGATAAAGGAAAGGGAAAAGTGCAGGGACAAGCTTATACCCTTACAGGAGGCAGTTCTGGAGGACAGGCCAACAACACGGTGGTTGAGGGTATGATTCTGATCTCCCACTCTCTAGCACATGTATTGTTTGATACTGGTGCTACCCATTCGTTTATATCAAGTTCTATTGTACAAACTTTGAAACTAAAATTTGAGAACTTAGAAACCCATATGATGTTAAACTCCCCGCTGGGATGTGTGGAGGTAGCTAGTATATGTAGATCGTGTGAAATCACGATTGGAGGTGAGCGATTGAGAGCTGACCTGATAATCCTTCCGATGAGTCTGTTTGACGTGGTACTCAGAATGGATTGGTTAGTAAGATACGGTGCAATTTTTTATTGTTACCGTTGGAGAGTAACTTTGATGAGTAATTCTGGAACGATGATCACTTATCAAGCATACATGAACCTAGTCCTGAAAGAACGACTGTGGAGATACAGTGTTGTAGGACGTAGGAACCTAGCCTGCTTTTCTTTCCTTCTTGCTTTAGAAGGTGACCCTATTGTAATTGGAGATAATGTGGGAATTCCTGCGGTGGATGAGTTCACAAATGTATTTCTGGATGAGTTACCGGGGTTACCACCAGATCAGGAGATTAAATTCGGCATTGATTTGATACCGGGAACAGCTCCAATTTCTATTCCTCCCTGTCGAACGGCACTTGCAGAAATAAGAAGAAACAACTCAGGGAATTAGTAGAAAAAGGGTATATCAGGAATAGCACTTCCCCATGGGATGCACCTGTTTTGTTTGTGAAGAAGCACAACGAATCTCTTCAGTTGTGCATTGACTATCATCAATTGAATATGGTAACTGTGAAGAATAAATACCCACTGCCGAGGATCGATGAGTTGTTCGATCAGTTAGGTGGATCACAGTATTACTCTAAGATTGACTTGAGGTCAGGATATCATCAGTTAAAGATTAAGGAGGAAGACATTCTGAAAATTGCCTTTAGAACTCAGTAGGGGCATTTCGAGTTTCTAGTGATGCCTTTTGGGCTGACAAATGCCCCAGCTGAATTCATAGATCTAATGAATCGGGTCTTCATTGATGACATTCTAGTTTACTCGAAGACTTG